TCAGCTGATATGTTGCTGGTGGACAAGAGCACTACATTGGTGTAGGATTTTGCAGAAGGCGGACCAGACAGTCTTTAAAGAGGCAGGCAGGGCTGTAGAGTCAGCAGAGTGAAGGCAAAAATTGATCCGGGACAAATAGCGGGTGCTGTGAGCAAGGAGGAGGGCACAGCTGGAAGGAAAGCTGCCATCTCTGCTGCCCAGGGATGATCCAGGCCTGTTCAGCAATGCAGAAACTGGAGAAGGAGCAAAAGAAGGGAAGAGCCAGGGTGGGCGATGGGAGGAAGGGGCAGCTCATTGCAAAGGGGAAGATGGAAGCTGTGCAAAGGAGAAGGTAAAGGCAGAAACAGGCCTGTCAGCAGCAAGTGAGGATAAGAAAGGGGAAAAAGAGAGGGAAGAAAGAGTACCCAATGGACTGAAGACAAAAGAAGGCATAGTGAGCTGTGGTGAAGGAGAGTAAGTAGCTGTCAGAGGACTAGATGAAAGAAAAGCATGTGGAAAAAGTGTGGCTGAGCTGTGAGACACTGTCTAGAACTGGAGGCTGGATGAGGACCTCAGAGAGAAGTAGCAGACTCAGCTGGAGTAGGCTGGGGAACCTAAATCATTTATTCAGAGGGCAAAAATGGCAAAACTGGGCCCTACCAACTTGCTTGAGAGGGAAGAAAGGACAGCCACGAGGTCAGTAGATGTAGATCACAGGCTCAGAGAGGGTGGCAAGTGAGAAGTGAATATAGTGGGTCTCAAAGAAGGCAAACCAGAATGTAGGAACAGGAGACTGAAAATAGCATGGGGGAGAGGGGGATCCTAGCACCATAATTAGATCCAACTGCTGGGGCAGCTTCAGAGTTGCCCAGTCTCCATGGCTTGAGAGACCCAAGGCAAGAATGGGGGTGGCTGCAAGAGTGGGATCTTTCCAAAATGGACAGCCTTGACACCAGGTTCTGCCTAGCTGCTGTTTCTGGATAAACCAGTGAAATGTGTTTGATTTAAACACAGCCTGGGATCCCCACATGCCCGCCTCAGCCATGCTTCCTCTCTCAAGTCCAGGCACCCAGACCTCCTACATCCGGAGGACAGATAAAGGAAGCAGCTTACACAGCACATTACTAGCTCAAGGCAGTCCAACTACTTGCAGTGATGCTGCATTACAGGACCTGCATTATAAACCTAAAGAGCAGGTGGTTTTGGCAGGCAGGTGCCCCAGGGCTTCACTCTTTATAGTCAATGCTTCAGATCCACCAGCCTCCTGGGCTTTGCTGGGCTTGTCTGAGGGAACTATTCCTGTTTGTCTGATTCCCAGCACAGCAATTGCTGCAGTTACCTGAACACAGGGTGTTATTAACTTAGCACTGATCATGCTGGTTGTTTCAAGAAGACTCTAAATCTGTGGAGTCATATAAGAGGCAGGTAACACAAGCACATCTAGTACAGGCACAGAGGGCTGCTGGAGTTGCCAGAAGTAACTCTGGCATCTCCTCAAAGCAACTCCTCACACATGAAATCATCATTAAATCATGTGACAGAACCAAGCCCAGTTTGGGACTGAGATAAATCAACAAGGGAGGGTGTATACTAATCTGCCAGCAGTACCTTCCATCCTCCTGGCCACCACTCAATGCCAGGCAGTGAAGAAAAGGCTCTTAGTATTGCATGTCCGCCTTGGAAAGCCCAGAAAAAGGAAAGGGGGAAGGGAAAATGGGGGCTGAAGGCTCCATCAGTCCATGGAGAATGGGGGGAGGCCCTAAGGAAGAGACATCAGCTGAGGGTTGAGTAAGGGCAGAGCACAGCATATGCTGTTACACAGCTGTGCTATATTCAGAAATGTCATAGAAACATCACAGCGTCTCAAATAGAGCTCCAAGACCTGCAGCCCCGATCCTCTCCCAGTGTTGACCAGCATGACTTCATTGTAATCAATGATCTTGTCTACCCAGTTATCCCCTACATCTGGTTCTTCACAGAGTAAGTAACTGGAGTCATTGCTTCTTCCCCATCTATACACCCTGCAGATTCCCTGCCACACTCCACAAAGTATTAAGCTGTGCAGAATAGGAGATAGACCAAATTAATCTACAAAACAATAGGGAGGGGAGGACAGCATGCAGAAAGAGGAAGAGGAGGAGGTCAAAAGAAAAAAGGAGAAGCTGAAAGAGAAAAAGGATGCTAAGCTGCCTGACTTCCCTGCGTCGCTTCTCATTTTGACAGGGACATCTCACAGTATACAAGATAATGCCCACATTTTCAAATGTATCCTGTACCCATGGCTCCCATTGACATGAAGGGGATTTGGATGTTCAGCACCTCCAAGAAGCAGCATGTGAAAGTCCTGAAGCAGCCTTGGGTCTGGTACAGTGCTAACATGGCTCAGTGCCTCTTAACATTAGCACCACAGTAGACTGATTGGAGGGGCTTTTCCCACAGAGCAAGTATGGGCAAAGGGCATGCCCAAGAGAAAGGAGGAAAGTAAAGGAGGAAGCAGGAGACAAGGGGTGTAGGGGAGAAAAGAAGGAAAATTTTAAAAAGGCAAAAAGGATG